GGAGACCTTGGGATGTGAACCAGGGGCTTTCCCAGGTGGGCCTAGCATTGCAGCGCATTGAGTTACCACTGTGCTACCAGCTGGCCCCAAGGAGGTAACCTTTTAAAAATGGAATCTTTTGGGACCGGCAGATGGTGTAGTGGTTAAGGGTGCTGGACTTCCACATGGCCAACCACAGTTCGAGTCCCGGACCTGGTGGTTGCTTTCTTGCGTTCCCTCTCTCTCTCGTTCTCTTACTCTGCTCCTCTCTGGTAAAATTAAAGTGGATACATAAGTAAATAAATAAAGTTAAAATAATTCTAAAAAATGGAATCTCTTAAAATTTTCAAATATTTAATGACTCCTATAGAGAAGTGCAAAATTGTCTTACAGAGACTAAATGGCTCCCAGGCCAATACGTTTTTATTGTCATTTGTTTGAATAAATTAATATGTTGAAAAAATCAGGATCTGTAGATTCCGAGAGGATTCTGATAACTGAGGTAGTTCGAACCACTGCTTTGCGCGGATCAGTTCGTCTTCTCGGGCATAAGCGTTCAGTAGGGGAAATACCTGGATACTTGAAAGCCAATGTTTGAGCCCTCAGGGATGCTAAGAACCTGGATGGGAGACAGCAAGTGGCGAAATGGTTATGTTGCTGGACTCCCACGTACTTGCCTGCAGTTCTAGTCCTGGACCCGGTGGCTTGAAACTCACATAAGGCTTGTGTGAGTGAGTGCCCAAATTCCCAAAAGGAGAATGGAGAAGAAGGGATTATGGTGTGATAATCCTCCTGAGGGGTGATTTCTCACTTTTTGTCTTTCTCTCTCTGGCAAATATATGTGTCCTATGACAAAAAAAATTCTCTCTCTCAAGGGAAAAAAAATCAAAGAACCTGAATGTCCAAGAACAGAGAAGAAGGTGTGGGTTGGAGTAGGATAAAGAAAAGGACGGTATGCTCTTCTGTAATACACATTTTGTCCTGAGTTTAATTATTTGCATAATATTCTTTTGGCCTTTCCCCAACACTCTTTTTCAGCTGAGTGATCCCTTTTCTGTGGGACGTAAGTGTGGGCAGCGTACAAGGCAGCAGACAGTTCCCTCAAGCATTTCAGGGACACGGAGGCACCCATAAAGGCAGGAGTAAATTGCCACAGAATGATAATAACAGCAGCAGGCTAATTTTTGTAATTTTAAATCCAATTCTGTTAATAGTCCCTGCAATGCAATTCACTTCAAGTCAGTACAATTCAACTCACTTCAATAAGCAATAATTGAACACTCCTAGTCCACATTATTTCACTCTTTCTACAGAAAATTGAGCAATGTATTATGAGGGCCATGAGCCTCTAAGTGGTGTTATGGTATCACCAGACTGGGAGCAGGGAAGCTGTTGGAGTAGCACTCTGGTATAACGAGAGATATTCACCTGGGACACTTCCGGTCTACTCTGCTATTATTATTATGTGATGCCTATTAATTTTATTCATGATAGAGAGTACATACGAGAGAGAGAGAAGCACCCTTAACACGGTCTTGTCATGCTGTGACCCCACCTCCCTGAACCTCTGATCTGTGAAGATCCTGGGCACATACACATACCTGTCATATCTTTGAGCCTACTGGGGGTCTGAACCGGGTGGGGGGGGGGCAGCCACATGGCCTTCAGCACCGCATTTCAGTTTGCCACCAACTACGCTACCGGGCTGAGCCCAAGTGTCCTGATTAATAACACCCCATCCAGATGGCAAGTTGTACAGTCATCCTTCTATGTAATCCTTTCATTGCTCTCACCTTGCTTAATCTTACTGCTCGTGTGTCTCTCTCCTTCACTAAACTAATGAATTCCTTGAGGCTAAAGACATGGTCTCATTCATCTCTGGGCCTAGCACATGCTTGCAATTAGAGGGAGCCTTAGTAAGCTTTTGTTAAATCTATCTAAAATTAAAGACAGAAGGAAGAGGAGGCTTAGAGCAGACACGGCCAGCTCACATTATCTTCTAAGTGCTACAAGGCCTAGACTGGAGGTCCAGCTCTGAGCTGCTCGCGAGCTTTGTGTCTTGGGAAGCTTATTTCATCTTTTTCAACTGAGTAGAAAAATATGTGTCAAGTGCTTAGTGAAGGGATTTTAAGGGTCCAATTTAGCTACAAGTGTTATTGTCAATAATAATTAGTTGCTATGAATAACTATTATATATAATAACATTTAAATTTTAATTTTCTTATCTAGAGGATGAAGATAATTCCTGCCTTTTTTTTTTTTTTTTTAGGGGTTTTTGCTATAGGGTGCGTGTGCTCGCCAGACAGAGAGATGGAGAGACAGAAAGCGAGAAATCACCCCCCACGGGGGATGGCCACGCCACAATCCCTTCTCCTCCATTCTCCTCTCAGGATCTTGGGCACACACGCACACGCGCCCGGCATGAGTTTTAAGCCACCGGGCCCAGGACACGAACAGCAGTCGACTACGTGGGAGTCCAGCGACATAGCCATTATGCTAACTGCTGGGCCCCTGCCTCCTTTTATTGGTAATGAATGTGAAGAAACTTTGGCAACCACTTAGGGCTCTCACTGCATAGCCATGGGATGCATGGTAACAGAGTGGTCTGTGCAGTGGAACAGGGTATTCAGGCATTTCGCGCGGGGGTTCAGCTGACTGGCAATATATGGAAATTTTTTTAGTTTTTTATTATAGAGCACATGTGCTTACCGGAGAGAGGGAAAGTAAGAAATCACCCTATGGAGGAGATGACCATGCCACAATCCTCTCTCTCCCATTTTCCTCTCGGGATTTGGGGCATGCCTGCGCATGAGCCTGGCGTGATTCTCAAGCCACTGGGTCCAGGATTTGAACTGCCCAGCCGGCCATGGGGATCCATCACCTTAACCTCCACGCTACCTGCTGACTCTATAAGGGAACTTTTAAATTTGACATTTTAAAATATGAAAAAATGCCTGGATTGAAGGTTAGAGGCTGTTCTATGCTAAAGGGTAGTGACAAGGAAAAGCACATGGGAAAATATGGTGGGTGTGCTCAGGAAAGGCAGGCAATGAAGACTGAGGCAGCCCAGGGTGGGCTTAACAAGGCAGTGCTGCAGGCATGAGGAGGGGATACAGCCGTTCCCGCTGCGGCCTCTGGAGACCAACAGTTTGGGCAGAAGAGTCTTCATGTCAGGGTATGCTTTCTACTTGGCAAAATCGGTCAAGCGCTTGTACTTCAGAGTTACTGTGAACACTTTTTTGAAGTGATGCCAAATGTGGGCAATACATAAGGAAGCAAATTGGCACCTAATAATAGGTGCTGCTAATAAAGAAGACATGCTAAAATGTTTTTAAAAACTTCTCCCATGAGTGAGAAAGACACACACACACACACACACACACACACACACACAGATAGCACCCCCACAGGGTCTCGACACCATGGTCTGCTCACAGCTTCAGCCACTCCCAGACCATGGGCCTGTATGTCCCTAGGGAGGTACGCAGGGAGGTTTCTGGATACAAACCCAGAACCTTCCTATGTGGGTCCCCTTCAGAGAGCATTGCGTTTTCTTCCTGTGCCCCTGTCTGGGCCTGGCGTTCTCACAGTCAGTGGTACTGCTAATAATAAAAAGACCAATGATGCATGAGAGCAGCTTCCAGCTGAGAATCATGGAAGCTTCTCTAATAATGTCATCTTTATCAGGTGAGCTAGAGAAGCTGGTGGCCTTAAAGTTTTGTTTTTGACCTTCCTTGTTAACCTAAGAGGCACGCCTAGGGAGGGCAGAAATAGTCACACTAGGAATTCTTTGATCTAACTGGTAATACATTGGGGGGAAGGACTTCAGGTCTATTTCAGGAAAAAGGGGATCCAGCAGCAGCAGCAGTAAGTGAAATGCATAGATAGTCCTTGTACATATGGACTCATTCAAAGCTCACAGCGGCCCGGTAAGGTGGGTACTACCTCCATGATCTGAGTGACAAACTAAAGAATAAAGAAGTTTCAGACCTCACAGAAGGTCAGAATCCAGTAAGTGGTGGAGCTGGTCTCTGACTCCATTGCATTTCGTCAAGAGAACGTCCTTTTAACCAAGAGGCTCCGCCCCTTCTGGTTTAGCCTTTATAACCAGTGTAACGCATGTCTTTGACTTCGTGGGATAAAGTTGTGCGGCTAAGCCAATAAAAGTCAGGAGTGGCTTTTCATTCAGCCCTAGTCTTTTCTCGGAAGGGAAAAATTTGTCTAGATCATAGATTTAGTAGAGGTGAGACTCTTGTGCTGTTAGAACTTCTATCCTCCGGGTCTAGTATTACTTCCTCATGGTGCATAGCGGCCAATAGCATGAGTTGAAGTAAACCAGTCTCTATGGTTTTCCCCTTTGACATAAAACTCTTTTTGTGACTCAACAAGGGAGGACTATGGGAACACACAGCTCTAGCCCAAACTCCCAAAGGCATATTGGCATTTACTTGTTAATCCTCCGGTAATCAAATACTTCACCAAATCCTAACTCCAGACTCAGGGCCTGGTTCTAGAACCTCCTAGCCATGAGGCTACAGGCTCCAGCCAAGGAGGTTATTTGGTTCCTGCCATCAGCCAGCCTTCCTGTCACATGGTTTATGACCATGTCTATTAAAGCCATGGATCAAACTCAAGACATGCCGGCCTGGTGTGACTCAGAGCAGTGGAATCCCAAAGCATTCCAGTGAGGCTACTATTATTTTATTTCAGAGTGAATTTAAGGCTAGGAGTGATGGGGACAATTAAACAAGACAACACATCTGAACACTTAGCACAGTGCGTGGCTCAGGGAAGCTGGGGGTTCCGTTAGACTGAATACCACGGAGGCCTGGGGTCACGCCTGGCACGTCTTTGTCAGGAATCCTTCTTCACTTGCTCCACCCCTCACCCTGTCCTCCCCTCACTCACTGCATCTCCTGCACTCTGTCCCCGGTGGCACCACTGAAGTCAGTGTCAGCTCAATTATTGTTTATTGCACTCATTGACTTGTTGTTTACTGAGTCATTGTGATTCTGTCCCAGGAGATATTTGGCTATCAGACACAAGGCTGCCGGCAAATTCTCTGCCTTGCTGGATCCATCCTCTCACTCGGGATCCTTCCCTTGGTGTTTTACTGGAGACCGGCGTGGCACGTCTGGGCAAATTGCATCCCGTGTTCCTTGCAAGAAGCAGATGTCGTACTGCTGAGGACAACAGTAAGTGTGTACTTGTCTGGTGCCTGGTGGCCCTTTCTCTGGTCATTGCATTGTGGGATGGTGGGGGAAGATGTACATGGCAGGGACAGCGGGGAGGGGGAGGCCCGGTCTTAGGTGCCCTCGTAGCCTTGCATCTGCAAGAATTCGGTAATGCGTGTACGATGCATTTGTTTAAGGAGACCTATTTCACAGCATACTTCTTTCAAAATCAGTGCTTTTGTGGATGCAAGAGCAAGCCGTAACCATGTTAATAGCTAAAAATAAAAGAATGTGGACTGGTTGTCAGACCGCAGGCATACACACCGGCACTCCCCTTGAAATGGTGAACTATCCATGCCTGTCTCTCCCACTGGAGGGACTCTACAGGAAGGGAGAGGGAAAGCTGGGAAGGAAGGGGGAATGTCCTTCTGAAGAAGGTGTCTTCCTCTGCTGATCTGAGAAAGCTGCAGCTGTGAACGAGAGTATGTTGCATCCTAGGGTAAAAAATGTCACCAAGGTTATTGCTTCTCTTTGCTAATACAAGGCCCAGGCACTAGGTGAGTTTCCCTGTGTGTGTTCTCATACCGCCTCCTCAAAGCACCCATAACACTTAGACAACATGGTCATTCCTCAGGACTGCTAGCTTCTATCTCATTAGTTGCTGTACCTCCAGTTCCTCTGTGTGGCAGGGAGTCCATTAGTGTGTGATGACTGACAGGATAAGGGATATTCCTATTTAAGAGACCAGAAGGGCAATTATGGAAGATCCCTTTCTGGTTCAATTTTACTGTTTCTAGTAAATGCATCAGCCCAAATGACAACACATTTTTAAAGACATCAGCCTCTTTTGGAAGTTTTAGCTTCGTTTTATATTTAGCAATCTCAATATTCCATTTAGTGGTGCAGTAAGAGGGGAGGACAGCAACAAGCCTTATAACTGGTCCCAAAACAAAACAAATTGCACTGCAGTTTGAAATCTGACAGAGCTGGGGCTAGGTGTCAATGAAATTAGGAACTGGATGGAGTTTCTTCGTTGATTTGCTTCACTAGGGACACCCCTGTTTTCTGGACCCCACTCCTTTCCGGAGCCTCCTGTCCCTCCTTGCTTTTTTATTTATTTTTAGAAATTTTTGCTATAGGGTGCATGCACTTGCCAAAAAGATAGTAAAAGACAGAAAGCAAGAAATCACTCCCCAGAGGGGATGGCCATGCCGCAATCCCTTCTCTTCCATTCTCCTCTTGGGATCTTGGGCACGCACAAACACGCGCCCAGCGTGAGTTTAAGCCACCGGGTCTGGGACTTGAACCACAGTCGACTACATGGGAGTCCAGCGACAGCCATTACGCCAACCGCTGGTCCCCTCCTGTCCCTCCTTAGCTGACATGGGAATCATGATATGGGTGATGGTGGAGGTACCTCCTCAAAGATTGAGCTATACTTTAACTGGAGAGTCCTGGAAAAGAAACTTGAAGATTTTAAGGAAGCAAGAGATTAACTGAGAGTCAAAGCAAGCCGTGTGGATGAAGTTAGGTTGGAGACATGTACTCCATTGCTGCCTCAACTCACACTTCATGAAGGCTCACAGAATGTGTGAGAAGGGACCCGCAGCTGGTGTAATGGCTATGTCGCTGGACTCCCATGCAGTCGACTGTGGTTTGAGTCAAGTTCCCGAGAGGAGAATGGAGGAGAAGGGATTGCGGTGTGGCCATCCTCCCTGGGGGGTGATTTCTCGATTTTGGTCTCTCTGTCTCTCTCTGTCTTTCTGGCAAGCACACGCGCCTTATAGCAAAAAAAAACTCTCAAAAAGATAAAAAAATAAGATTGGGTTTGAGAAGAGTGCCTGGTGCTCTCGGAGTCAGACTCCCGCCTTCGACGGGTGAGCAAATGGGGCCTGTGGAGGAGAGCGGTCTGCCTCAGCTCACGGGTGGGCGAGGGTCTAACCCGACCCAGCCAACCCAGGACTGTCCCCATCGTTCAGGCCTCAGGCTGAACTCAGCGGTTCCCACCTTGCGACGGGCGTCAGAATCATGTAAAGGGCTTACTGACACCACTTACAGGGCCCTGTCCCAGGGCTTCAGTGCAGTAGATTTGGATTTGGGCCCAAGAATATGCATTTTTCACAGATTCTCAGAGGATGCTCGTGGGAAGGGGCCGTGCTTTGAGAAAAACTGCTGTAAGGAGTCACCACGCCCGTGAGCGCTCTTGCTCACTAGATCTCTGTAGAATAGAGGCCTGGGTGTGACATTCACAGCTCAGTCCACAGAGTCTCAAAGAGAAGGAGCCCAATTCAGCAAACTGTTTAAGTTTCTTCCCCCAAACATAGCCAGAGGGTCTTGCTGGGGCAGGGGTAGAGAGAGGTTTGTTTCCTGGGCTCAGAGTGGTGTCTTAAATACTACGGAAGATCCCGTATTTGCTGTACTCACTTCGACCCGCCCTCCGTGTGGAGTCTTTCCTGGCAGGAGAGAGTTGACCTCCACCCTGCAGGTCCTTGCCTCTGCTCCTAACTAGTTCTCAGGGGGCAGCAGAAACAGAACCCCAGGAACGTAAGAGAGCGGTCTGCCTTTCCGAGCCCATCAGCAGACCCTTCGGACCTGGGGATGCCTGGCTGGGAGCAGTGCTCTCTGAGTTTGCTGGCAAGGCCAACGTCTGGGCAAGAATGAGAGAAAGTGGGCAGAGGAGTGGAAGGGGAGGGAGTGGAACGAAATAGATGGGTAGAGAATAGAGAAAAGGAAAGTGAGAGGAAGAATAGAGGAAAAATCCACTCAGAGTGAAAAATAAAACAAGTGTCAACACTCTTGTTGACTTTGGGGATTCCAAGACAAAACTTAGGATAGGATTCCTAGTCTTAGCACCTTAGGTTCCCTAACTTTTCTCTTTTTTTTAATTTTTAAAGTTATTTTTCTTATTTTTTTTTTTACATTTAATTAGTGCACATCTATACAGCACATACAGTGAACTTTCCAGAATGAATACACTGCATATTGGTCCAGTCATAGACACTACCATATACATTATCAACAGATGATTTTCCATTTTTGTATTCATTAAATTTTTTGCCTTCCCCCCCTTGAATCTCACCCTCCTGCATCCCCTCTTCTTCTTTTTTGCTATAGGGTACGTGCGCTCTCCAGACAGAGACAGAGAGACAGAAAGCGAGAAATCACCCCGAGGGGGGATGGCCACGCCGCAATCCCTTCTCCTCCGTTCTCATCTCAGGATCTTGGGCACGCACGCACGCACATGCGCCTGGTGTGAGTTTTAAGCCACCGGGTCCGGGATGTGAACTGCAGTCGACCACGTGGGAGTCCAGCGACATAGCCAGTATGCTAACTGCTGGTCCTTTATTTATTTATTTATTTGAAGGATTTATTTTACATTCATTCACTGTACATCATTACAGCATACCAACTTTTCAGGACCTCCATTTCTTCACTTATAAAATGAGATTGGTAAAGTACTTGTTCTTTCTTGGATGGGTGTGAGGGTGAAGTGAACTTATGTACATACAAACCACGTGCAAACTGTCAAGTGCATCATCAAAAACTATTTGGCTTGTGTGTGTTATTGCTCAAGTGTCTCCAAGAGAGCTGTATGCAGAAGAGCTCACCTTACTCAAGGCGCCCGTGTGTCTAATGACCCTGCTTATCTGGATGGTGTGCCTGCCCTTACCCAGGAG